ACCGCTACAGCTAGAGCTGCCAAAGCAGGCTTTCCCCAGCAGTGAGGAAGTTTTTCAGCTGGGACCTGATCCAGTCAAAAATCCCATTCCCGTGAACAGCATTTGCTTTGTAGGAACAGCCTGAATAAGCATGCAGGCCTGTTGTGCATGCGAGTGTTGAGGCAGTTCTTCGATCTGGGTTGGCTTGGTCCCTAAGGCCAGGCGTGGTAGTCTCCCACCCTTTCATAGAACAATTTTGCTTCCACTGATGTTAAAGTAAAACTTTGGAAAGGGCGTCCTTGCTCAATACATTTTCCAGGGTTGCCAGTAGTCCACAGTCATGTGGTATGGTGCACAGGTATGCAGAATTTATGTGAAAGCAGAACTCTCCTGATACAGCACCACATCTTTTGTATTTTTGTAACAAAGGGTATAAGGACTGCTTCTTCTAGCTGTTCAGCACTTGTTCATTGAAGGCCTGCTGTCAGCTGATTCCTTGCTGAAACCTGGCCGTGTCACCCGGAGAGGTGGCAATCGATCCGCTCAGGTTTAGCAGCCTGGTTTCAAGTCCCCTGTGCCCTTGCAGCTGTCGTTGTCTGGGTCAGTTTGCTGCCCTGCCACAGTGTCCTGGTGCCGCAGCTGGTAGGTTCCTGGTGAGCTTCTTGCCCCAGGTATTTTGTTCATCCGCTCTGGACTAGTGCACATGTGAGCAGGAGCTGTGGCAGGCATATTAGGGAAAGGGTGCTCATGGGGCAGTGTGCCACGAGCAGGGGAGGTGGATGACTTCCCCTGCTCGCCCTGCCTCGCCTTTCTTGAGCGAGGTGTTTCTGCCCCCTGTTCCGAGGTGCTGCTCCCTCAGACTTCAGACGCCAGTGTGAACATTAGCAGTTCTGCTGAACGTCTTCTCGCTTCACCCAGGGTTTCATTCTCTGAAGGTTTGATTATGGTATAAATCCGAGATTACAGTCCACCAAACGAGCTTTGTAACATCTGTCTCTTTTTGTAAATATTCAAAACCCGTAAGCTGAGCTCAGAATCAGAGGAATGATGTGCTCTAAACAGTGGCACTGGAATCCTACTGCTCAGCTCAACTAGAGGAATAGGTTTATGTGTTGCTTCTGTGTCTGTGTGTCTGTCCCAAATAATATCTGAAGGCTTTGGTTCACTTAGTCTGCATGTGGTTGCCTTTGATGTCGCATGAGGCCCCGTTCCAGGTTGCAAATGCAAACTAAGGTATTTTTCCAGTGTACTAGAGGTCAGGCGTAAGAAATGAACTATTTATATTAAAAGTGTAAACCTCAGTGTAAGCTTTTATAAATAAAAATCGGGAGAGCGTGAAAAAGTATAAATGGAGTGAAGCAAGAGCAGAGTTTGGTCAGTATATCCAGAATAAACCCTGTATTGTGTGTGCAGTATCTCCCTGCTACACATCTGTCTGTGGCTGCCATGAAAATGTATGTTGCTTCTTTTTCTTAGCCTTAATAAATGCACGGAAATTTAAGTCACCTCCTTTTGCGGACAGGGACTAGTAACTAAAAACTTTTTAATGCAAAGGGGAATTGGTGAATAGAGAACTAATATTAGCACACAAATTGTTGGAATTACTTAGACTCAAAAATGGGAATAGCTGCTGGTTTTCCCCTGATAGATTTAATAAATGCCTCCTGCTCTACCAGAGAAGTGTTGCTCACTGCTGCTTTTTAAAAGTGGCTGACTGCTCTGGTGCTTCACAGTTGTGAGACTGTCCATTGGTGTGAAACAAATAAAGTAATTTTAATACAGTTGTGTTTAGCAGGTCATGGTTTACTCATATGAATGTTAGTGGGTTTTGTTGTCACAGACTGGTTTAAATCTCATCAGATTAGATGCCATCAGTGCTGAAGGAGTTGAGGTGACAAGTAGTATAGCTAGGTTAGTGGCTGAAAGAGCAAAGGCAGGAAAGGTATTGACCAGACAGTGTCTGTTCCTTTAGGGCACCTGTGTTTTAAGTGGTTGATGAGTTAGTGTGCATTAAGAACTATTTTGCAGAAAACACGGGGTCTTAATCTGAAGTATTCACTAAGTGTATAGGGCTGCCAGGTGGTGTTGCAGCTCTTGGGTGTAATGCTTGTGGGTTGGAGAGGCAACCTCTGTCTTCTTTCCATCCCAAACATTGGACATAGTCTCACAGAGGTATGGGCTCAACTTCTTACTGCCTCTGGACAAAAATTCACACATGAAATGTGGTGAAATTTATTGCTAGCATTACCTCAGCTGCAGGATTACCTCATGGCTCTGATGTGCTTTTACTGGGGAATCTGTTCTTGTGCTTTGCTGAGAAACCCCTGCAGTTTGATTTATCCCCTCAGACAGCTCTTCATTCTGTTTTGATCTTTTTTTTTTTTCCTACCTTGATGAATCCCAGTTTAACAAAATGTTATTCCCAGCACAGTTCTCATGTCACTGAATCAGTTGTATGAATGGCTGGTTTTTTTATGGGTGTGAAAACTTTCTGTAAGCGCTTTGAGATTCCCCAGTGCACCCCAAGACAGGCCACATGTGCTAGGAGTGATGCCTGAAGGCTGCTCCCTCCGTACTGCCCAGCCTTAGCACAGCTCTGGAGCTTGCGATGTCCTGCATGGACGGGGTACTGGCTGTTCGCTGGATGCTGTTATCAGCCAGAATGACCTCCTGAAGTTGGTGTTCAAGCCTCCTTCACTGGTACAGTGGGGTGCTGGGAGCATCAGAGGCTGTGCAAGAGTACGTTCCTAGTGGTGGTGTTAAAGCTTGGCCTCTTTGCCTACAGCAGACACTAAGCGTGTTCATTTCACAGCTGAAAGGTCAGACCTTTCTTCAGATGCTTGTCACTGAGCAAATATCACTGGTGTCCCTGGAGAGGCGCATGCTCTTTGGATCTGCAAAGCGGCTATGGGGTTGTCTGGTATAGGGGTTTATACTTGGAGACATTAACTGCGTTTGCAGTACTAGGAACTGCTCTGTGGCTGTGTCTGGCCCTACTGCCTTGAGCTAGAAGTTTGTCCTCTCATCTGTGCCTGCAGATGTAGGAAGAGGACTTGGAATACCAGCAACAAAGTGGAACCAGTAGTGGGAGAAGCTTGTTCAAGATGTCTCGAAAGGAGCCTTTTTGAAAAGAACTCCTTTACTTTTGAGCATGTCAAGTGAAGGCTTAGTTTGAAAACAGAAAAAATGAAAACAAAATGTCACATGGATATCTGGATTAAAATTAATTTAGGGAAGAGGTATAAAAGATTCTTCTAGACATGCTGTGGATAGGATGCAGCTTCCCAGGTTTTGACTGGGTTGCAGATTGTGATTTCCTGGTCTGCTTTTTCAGCTATAAAAATTACTTGAGCTGTATTGATGCTCTACTGTATATTTTAAAAGACATAACTTATTAGTTTGTTATAAAGCTTTAGATATTACTGGATGTGATACTGTTCTGTCTCTTCAGTGCTTAGTGAACCAGTGAATGATGAGGCTGTTTGAAGCAATGACGGTAATATAAGCAAAGGTTTAGAAATTTCCCTTACTAACGTGTGCTTAAGGTATTGTGGTGAACATACCATGGCGTAAACTGTTACATTATTAAATATTTTCATTAACGATTTTCACTTAAAAGGTAGGATTGCAGTAGCAAAATTTGCTGATGACGCACCATAGGGGCATTATCAATACAGCAGAAATAGTGTACCGGAAAAACAGAATAGGTTTGAGGTTTTCAGCAGTAGGAATTGGAGGAAATTTAATAAAGTACATTGTCACGCACCTAAGAACTTATAGTAGTTCTTGCTACAAACTCATCAGTTGGTCTTTTATTCCAGCGACACTCCAGGGATTCTCAGGCTGTTCCTGTAAGGCCTGCAAAATGTGGTTTGGAAATGCATGTCCATCTTGACTATTTTAGAATTGCTATATGGGTATCTTCAAGTGGGGAAAACCTTTGTAATTAATTATTAGTGGGATGACTTGTAACACCAATGACTAAAGCCATTCAAAAGACAAATGTCATCCTAGGATGCAGAAATCCAGGATGCTGCCATTAAAGACAGAATATTTGGCTCATGCAGTCAGTTTTATAATCTCTCTCTTTTTTTTTTCTTTTTTTTTTTTTCTGGTTTCTTTTTTTTCTTTTTTTTAATCCAGGTCAGCCAGTTCAGACAGCTGTATTCCAAAGTGATCAATGATAAGCATGATGATGTTATGGCAAAGTTTGGAGCAATCCTGGCACAAGGCATTTTGGATGCAGGTAATTCCCAAAACATTAAAAGCAATCAAAATTTCTTAAACTTCTTTGGCTACAGTAGCTGCTATAGCAGATTTCATTTGGGAGATTAGGTGTTGGCTTTATGCCAGTGGTGTAACAGTAGCAAGAAATCTCAAATTTCAAGTCATTTTAGCTAATTAAAGAAATACACCCTGTTTCCTAGTTTCAGTTGTTATCAGTGTGCTTCTGTTAGGAGAGACTCAGGCCGCTCATTGGGGCAGAATTCATGCTCTAAGTCTGTTTTATCACCCTGACGGTTGATTTATAGTGTGATAGGTTGCTGCTTTATTTTTCTAAGTAAGCACCTGCTCCAGAAATTTAGAAACCTTGTGGTACCCATCCTCGTATTTTGCTTTTTCTGTTAAAACTTGACATAACCAGTATAAAAAAAGATACATGTATTAAATATGTTTTTACTAACTAGGTTTTGCCTCTTGCCTGATGATTAAGAGAGGTGTTGAACAAAGAGGGAAGCACAATTGACTGCGTCAGTGCTACTTCAGGAGACCAAGTTAGCTTCACAGACTACCACCGTTTGGTAGTGGAGGAAACATCATTTCATGAGTGTTAATGACTAAATGTTGAGCCAGAGGTAGGGTTCTCTAAAGGCGTCAGCATTTCTCAAGGGCTGAATTTCAGGGCCTATTAAGGAAGGTTTCTGTAAGCGAAGAGGCCAGACAATGTTTTCTTTTGAATTTTTCCTGCTGCTGGAGTTAAGACTTGTACAGTGCCGTGTGTGTCAATAGCACCCCCTTTCCAAGTTTCCAAACACGGCTTCTCCCCTCTGGTCTCTTGTACTGTGGCGTTTTCTTGCCATGCACCTCCTTATTGCCTGTGGTAGGTGTAGAAACAAGCTGGTTTTCCCTGTACTCCAAGGTCATGGTTAGTCCTGAAGTGACGCAGGCAAAGGAGTCCCATACATTTGTCATTGTGGCATGGCGTAAGCACAGCACCATGCTCTGTGGGTACGCAGCGTCTGTATGAAATTGCTGCATCTCCAAACCATGTGGTGGGGGGAGAAAAACTTAGGGCTGCCTGCACCTGTCTGCGTGGAAGCATGCTTAAAAAGCTCTTTTCTGGTGGCCACATGGCAGTCAGGCTGCTCTGTGCTCTGTGACTAGGGCTCTTCAGAGAAGAAAGCAACAGGAACCGCCTTCTTTTTCTTTCTTGCCTCCCAGGTACCCCTCCTGGAGCTCAGACTGAGTAATATTCTCGGCACAAGACTGTCAGGATAGTTTTGGTCCTTCCCATTCTTATACTGTGTGGCTGGGAAGCCAGAGCCCAGCTGGCTCGGAGATTTTTCTCTCAGCAGTACAGACCTGCTTTGAATTCCGACCTTTAAGATTAAATCATAAAAATGCAGCTAAAACCTTATTTGCTCCCTGTGTCACTCATGTATTTTATAATGACTTGGAAACCAGAAGCATCCAATTTTAATAAGCTACATGTGAATTTGTGCCAACTTTAACCTCTTAATTTCTTGCTGACCAGCTAGGGGAAGGCTGTGAACTACCCTTTCTTAACCTATTGCCACTTTCATGAGAGCCTTTTAGATTAATAAATTCTTTTTATCTCTCCGATACAACTACAAGTGCTTATCTGAAACAATGAGCTATAGAATTTAATTATCACTACCAGGAAGAAAAGGTTCTTTGTGTCATCTGCCACAACTGGGGCAAATGAGGTTGGGTTTTTTTGGTTGGGTGTTGGTTTTGTTTGCGGGGCAGGGGGATGTTATCATTCTCTTCCAATAACAGGCTTTGATTAAAAGTGCAAGCTTTCCAGTGCATGACTGGGAAATGATGCACTGGAGGTGGGTTTTGTGCTCTGACAATGAGGCAGTCATTAGACTGGTGGTTTCATGGAAGGAGCAGGGTACCTTGGGAGCACTGAAGTGGAAATGAAAAATTTGGTCGCTGTCTAATTTTTAGGACCCAGCAGCTACATTTTTACTTCTGTAATAACGTAAGAAAAACGTAGACATTCTAAATCAAGTTTAGGGATTCCACACCACCACCCCCCCCCAAAAAAAACAAAACAAAACAAACCCTTTGAACTTTTATAATGCTCCCCTTTACGTACAAACATGCTTTCTTGTTCCAGGCTGATGACTCCCTTTCTATTCTTTGCAAAATCAATATGCTTTATTTTCTGGAGTACGCATTTGTAAATGTGAGCTACAGAAGGGATATACTGATCTAATTAGATGCCAGTATTTTACCTGAAAACTGTTTTGCCCTCTGGACTCTTAAGTATCTTCTCTGGTTCTTTACTGCCACACTTCTCAATCGGGGAGAATAAAGGAGGAGCGGCAGTCACTACGCAAATATCTGTGTAGTTTTATCTGGAAAATCCTTTTCTTGATATTTTGGAAAGGTTTAGGTGGGGTCAGCAGTGCAGTGGATTGGGGACAGTGTAGCATTTCGGCAGTGCAGACTGAAGCCAAAGAAGCTGTTGACAGCCTGGCAGTGAATGTGCTGGATTCTCCATGGTTTGGAGACGTTTGTAGTGATGAAAGTGTCATCCAAATTACAGAGGAAAGAGTTGCCCATCTCCTCATTGCTCTCTCTCCAAATACGCATCTCACATGATGTATTATCTTTTGGATGTTAAAGACTTTAGTACAGAAAATAAACTTTGATGGATAAGGTCTGCTCTCCCACGTGTGGAATTCAGTGCTACTGTTTCCCACCTTTCTCCTGCCTGTCCCTGTTTATGAGCTCTTCATGTAAAGTTGGTTCAAACTCTGGTAGTTAGGACAAAAGCCGTTATCCTGTGTTAATGCTTTTGACCATTAGGTTAGAGCTACCTTGTGTTTCATTGCCCATGTGAATCAGCTTGCTGGCACATGCTGAAATCAGCTCTGCTAGAGTTTTGGTGGTTCATCCTGTGAGATTTTGATTTTTCTGTGCTGCTGCTAACAGTCCAGGTCATCTTTGTTCTCTACATAAAGGAGGTGGATTGTAAGTCTTTGCTGATAGAGAAAGAAACAGTGTGATACCGTTTCAAAATGGGATGCTGCCTAGGCCAGGGTTGGAAACTAATCTCCAAGGTCTATAAAACATCTTTATCTAGTGACTAGTGTGCTTGTGTGTTATCCTGGGCTACACTGTCAAAGTATTGCCAAATGCCACCATGACTATGTAAAGAGTGAGTTCATCAAAGTATATAAATCATCGACATCCGCTTGCTGCACTCCCCCTCTTGTTAACTGACATTAAACTTGAGCCAGCAAATCCTTACAGCCTTTAGAACAGCCATTTTAATTCCAGCAAACCTTGCCACAATGGCAGCATGAATTCTGAGAGATGGACCTTGTAGTACTACCCAAGGTGCCCTGAAAAATTTTCTTATGAGTTTTTTGAAAATTTTTTTTTCTCAGGCGTCATGTCACAGCTTTCATCCATCCAGCCAAAGATCTGGAAAGTGTTCCCTTCCAGGCTGTCAGGGCTGCTACTTAATCATGAAGATAAATCAGAGTTGTGCAATATCACATCTCCCCACCTTTCCTGCTCCCTGCAAAACCCTGGGAGTGAGGGTGGGCTGTGTGTGGGTGTAAAAGAGCAGAAAGAAGTAGGATGACTGCATCTTTTGAATATGAAATCCGTTACTCATCTGGGAAATTCCAGAGATGGGATAATATCATTCTAAAGGTTAAAATAAATTCTGAAAATTAAAGTCCAAAACTTTGATAAAGTCTAGTTAAGCTGCTTGTGCAACATTCACTGGGGTTCTTACACAATGATGCGCTGAAGAAAAGTTCAAAGTAAAGATGGGGAAGAAGGCCAGAAATTTGAGTATGCAGTGTTTGACATGATTAAGGATAACACAAGAACTCAGGCAGTCCCTCCTTAATGCTGTGTTAAATTCAAGTATAAGGGTGAGAGATTGGTATCAGAGAAAATAACGAGAAGCAGAGCAGACCTAGCAGTAGTAGAAGACAAGACCATATCATTGCCTTTCTTCAAAGAGGAAGAGTTCTGTACTCAAAACAGCAGGAGATGTATTGCTACCACAAAAGGAGAAGCAAGGAGATATTGTCCTACAGGAGGATGTCAAAATCCTCCATCTTCCACTGCTTCTCCTGGGACTAATACATAAGATGAGATTGCTGCTTCATTCAGGGCTTTCATTAGTATTGGCAGCAAAAATTAATTTTGTTTGTCTTTAAAACTCAGTCAGCTCCATTGCTGCCTGGCCCTGTTGAGGTGGCTGTTTGTACAAGACAGGGGAATGCTGCTCCAGTTTGGGATTTCCAGCTACAAAGCACCCCGGGTTTGCAATGAGTGGGTGTTTGTAATTTAACAAGGTTAACCTGTACCTGGTCTTGTTGGTGGTAATGGACTTGCCCGGTGCCCTCCTCAACTCAATTCACTGTGTTCATCAGAAGACTGAAGATCAGATTAACACTTTCTCACTCTGCAAGCCCAGTCTTTCAGTTTGCTTTCTAGCTGGATGCTTCTGCACTATATCAGCATCTGGAGTTGTTTTGGACTCTGCAAGTACAAAGCTAGGACTTGGTTGTCTGGCAGAGATATAGTTTTGCTGCAAAGACTGCAGCAGCTTGTCTCTTTGCTGCTTAGATTGATAATCTCTAGAAGGAACTTCTGAAGTTGCTGCTGTTTACATTTTTTTCTGCTGAGATGGTGCAGGATGAAAACCTAGGCATATTTCTTCTGAATAACTGACAGTTCAGGGAGGCAGCCCCAGAAAGACGAGTTTCTGGATGCGCTGCTTTATATGAACAGTTTGCCTTGTGAGTCTTGTCTTGTGGAGCATCTATATGCTGTGTTTTAAAACTACTTATGGCAAAGGTTTGCCTTTTTCCTCTCCCTGCCTTCTGCGTTGTACTTTTGTTTAACCTGTATCCTGGCAAAATGAGCGTGGAAGGGCTGTATTCGTTGATTGTGCTTGGGTAGTATCTAGCAGATAGAACAGTTTGGTTGTTACTCTGCCTGTCTGTTTTACTGCGTAAGCTGAGATCACAGTAAAGGGGAGGGAAGCGTGTTCCAGAGGAGAAAGCTGACAAGGTTGTGGCCTGGCTTGGGCTGTGTGGCCCCCTTTCACAGCAGCTGTTTTAGGGAGGCATTGCTCAGGTGTCTTTGCAGGGTACCCAGAAATGCATTCGTTAACTTACTTCATTTGTGATTCCTTACAGGGGGCCATAACGTAACTATTTCACTGCAGTCGAGGACAGGACATACTCACATGCCTTCTGTGGTGGGGGTTCTGGTCTTCACCCAGTTTTGGTTCTGGTTTCCCCTGTCACACTTCTTGTCGCTGGCTTTCACCCCAACCTGTGTCATTGGCCTTAACAAGGATCTTAAGGTACGTAATGAGCAGAGAGGAGAAGAGGTGCTGATAGCTGCTTGGAAGAATTGTGTGGTCTGGGAGGAGTGTGCATGGATTTCTTGGTTTTCTTTGCACGTCTCCAGCTTGTTTGTGCCAGAAAAGGTGCTAACTGGCAGAAGTCTGAAAAACAGGCTTAAATTGCAGAGCTGGTGGTGGGAATAGGGACAAGAAAAATGTAGAGAGCAGACCTTGACCCCTGTACTTCAAAGTAGCTTACAAAGAAAGGAACTCCAGTCAGTGTATGTGGGCAGAGACCGCCCCATTTTCACTGCAGAAGGTCGAGGTTATTTTAAAAAAAAAAAGTCTGTTGCCCCCCTGCCCTCCCAAATAAATTGATATTCTCCCCCAGGAAAGCTCACAGCGGGAAAACAGGATTTGTTTGGATTCCTTGGGGAATAAACATTAAACGAAGCAGTCATGGGCACCGCGCTTTTCTTATGCATCTGTTCTTCCAGCTGATTAGCTGTGGTATGGCCCCTGCAAGCTGTGTGTCATGCTGGGTCTGCTGTGCTGAAGAACTGAGCTAGTAACTTCCACAAAAAAGCTCCTGAATGTGGCAGCGCAGGGGTGTGCAGCCCCCTCCTGTCATTGCTGCGGGCTTATTCTGTGATGCACGGAGCACGTGTAGGGCTGGGCTGCTCTCAGAGTCCCTCTGTGGAGCTGAGCCAGCTTGCTGAATTGCAGCCTCTGGACCAAAACCTTAGGGCTCTAGGTTGCTTTTCTTCACCTGTCAGCTAGAGCTGAGCATCTAATCTACACACGGCTCAAAACTCTCGTTCTGCTGAAGAGAGAGGTTTGCTTGAAAATGCCCTTCCCCCCCCCCACACTGTCCTGAAGGGCTTGCATCGCTCTTTGTCTCTGCGCCTCCCTGGTGGCAATAGGCTCAGTGCCTTTTTGGCTGCTTGGCTGTGCTGCCATTTTGACTGCCTCTCCCCATCCCTTAGAGTTTCCAGGGAGCCCGGACGGCTGTCGGTCAGGTTATGTTGTATAACTTGGCTTGCGTGCTGAAGCCAGCGACAGGCTGGATGTATGTTATGGGCTGCACCACACCCACCTTGCTTCCTCAGAGCAGTCCCCATTCCATTGTTGCTCCATGATGTGTTGTAAAAGGAAGAGAGTTGAGATACTGCAGAAATTAATTCAGTTTGAGAATTGGGATTGGCTGCCAAAAGATGCTTTCTGCCCTTGTTTAAGTAGCCAAGAGTGAAGAGAATATATGACGTTGGTCAGCCACCCCAAAATGTACTGTCCTTTTGCAAGAGGTGAATGTCCGGCAGTGCTTGGTTTGCCTTAGCGTGCATTGGCAGAGCAGGTCTTCACTTAGATCTTAAACCAATTTTGTGTTAATACAAGCAGGCACAGCAACGACATCAAAACCACAAAAGCTTCGAAACAATGAAAACAAAGCATGGTGTGAATAGTGTGGAGTGTATGGAGAAGGCTAAGAGCTTGCCAGAGTCGAATTATAGAATAATTAAATAACATTGTTCTAGTTGAACTGTTGCCACTGATAACAGTTTCTCAGCTTCCGGAAGGGGAGAAGGGGAAGCTTGTATTCTTTAGAGGATCTGTGTTTGTCTCTGCTGGAAGGAAAATGAAGCTAAAGTAATTATTCTGATGTGGGTTTTTTTCCCCTGCCTTTCTTGTCTCTAACAATTTTTTTTTTTTTAACCGTTTGTCTTAGATGCCAAAAGTCCAGTACAAGTCCAACTGTAAGCCGTCCACGTTTGCCTACCCCCCACCTCTTGAGGTACCAAAGGAAAAGGAGAAAGAAAAGGTATTTGGGCTAGCTTTGTGTTGTAAAGACTAACCCCTTCTCCCTCCCAGTATAAACATTGACTTTGGTGGCACTAACAGGGAATCTAAAGAGCGAAACAAAAATTGGCAGGCGCTATTGTCTCTGAAAGAGAATCCTAGCTGTTTTTTCCTGCTGTGCCTGGGACTGTTGCTGATCATGGCATACGAGTGCTGTGCTACTGAGCTGCTGGAACCTCCCTTGTCTCCAGTGGTCAAGCAGAAGCATTGATTAATAAAACTGCTTTCCGTGTCCTACTGACTCGTATGTGGGTATCACCTTTGTGCAGCACCTACCACAGCAGGGTCCTTGTCTGTGACTTGGGCTCCAAAGTGCTGCTGCAGTACAAACACTGAGAATATTAGGTGAGACGCTTCTCAAATAGTCTCATATGGAGGGACAGAAGTGTACGTGGGCTCAGGACACTGGGTCCATGTGCTAGAATAATAGCTGTCAGGCCAGTGGATTGCACAAAGGTAAGTGTGGAACTGAGAATATCTAGGTATTGAAAAGGAAGAGATGAGACCTGTGGGATGACAAAAGGGACAATAGTGGAAGCAATTTGTCTCCTGGCGCAGGATGGTAAAAGCTGTTGAGCAGACCACAGCAGCAGGCAGAGCAGCCCTTAGGGAGCAATTGCAGCAGTGGAGACCTCGGGCATGTCATGCTGATGAATGACACTGTGTGAAAACTGTAAAACATATTACCAGAATTGAATGCTGGGCAGGACAGGTTTCCGAGCCACTGAGGAACCCAGAAATGAACTCTGATGAAAGGCAAAGCTCACTGCCCCTAGCTGCTTTCTCGCCTTTGGAATAGGATGGGAATTGGGCAAATCCTTTCTCTTGTAAACTTCCCTGGCCAAAATTAAAATGTGCCAAGAGCCACATTTAGGCTCGAAAGCCTCACCCCAGCAGCCTGACAAATGCGGTTGCTCCCTGTCCCTCTCAGAAGTTACTGCCTTACAGAGACAGTTACTGTGGATAGAGAGATGTGCTCACTGGACGGGAGGCATGCTGAATTCTTTATTCAGGTGTTGCTTCTGGGTACTTTCTGTCTCAGGAGTGCCAAAGCCTCCTGAGGGTTCCTCCATAGGGCATTTTAAGTGTCCAGTTCTTTAGATCAGTGAGAAACACAGCTGTTTAGGACGGTGGAACAGCTTTAGGGCATTCTAAAGAGTATCTATATACACGTTTCTTTACCTTGGAGACTCTGGCAACAGGTTTTCCTGTAATGAATTCCATTTGTTGCTCTGTTAAAAATAAATAAAGAAACCTCTCCTATAGAGACCTAGACAGTAATGATTAATCTCTAAATTAGGAAGTTTGCTGTCCTTGTGCATATTATGTGGCTAAGCCCAGTCTGCATTTGTGGCATTTTTTTTGTCCCATCTGTGCCATTTATTTGCTTTGATGGTGGTGTATTTGTCTCTTAAAGAGAGCAGTGGGTAGGAAGTGGAATTGATCTTATTGACACCTGCACTGAGAACTGACCTAACATTGATTTCCCTTTGTTCCCCTGCCTGGGGAGCTGAAGCGCAGCGTACAGTGTTGCAGTCACGCTGAATGCCTCCTCTGTTGACATACCCAGGTTTCTACTGCTGTGCTGTCCATCACCGCAAAAGCCAAGAAGAAGGAAAAGGAGAAGGAGAAAGAGAAGAAGGAAGAGGAGAAGATGGAAGTGGTGGGTGCAAACATTGAAACTTAGATGTTTTCTTTCCCTCCTTATAAATGTGGAAGCTGTGCCATGAAAGCTGGTGCCCACTTAACGCTGTCCCCCCGCCACCTGTGTTAGTTCTGAGCAAAGCATTACACACGTTTCGGTGTTCTGCGTACTCTGGTTAGCATCTTCACTCCATGTGTGTGTGTGCTCTGTTAAAAATAAGAGGTGGTATTATTTGTGAATCCATTATTTCTGAGGGCTAAATCTTCCTCAGTATGGTTAAGTAACTGACTCCCTTAAAGGCAGAAGCTTGTTTTGACAAATTTATGTGCCTTTAACTGCGTGAACCTTTTGTGCATTATTTCATTGCCTGCTGTTTCTAGACCAAGAGAATTTTATCTCTTATCCATGTATTTTTATTAATGTGGAAAAAGCCCTAGTAATTTCATGTCCTTGGTACCTCTGACTTTTTAAAAAGGACTCAATGTTGTAGCAGTTGCTTGGTGGTGTCTAATTCAGTTGAGAGCACTGAACAGTTTAAACTTTCTGGTTGTGCACATGCTTAAGCGCCTGTTCTAAAACCTTCACCGTTTTGGCTGCAATCTCTTATGTGCTTTGCTCATCTATCAAAATGCCAAACGTTTATCCACACGCAGCTCAGAACCAGCTGAGCTTTGAGCACAGGATCCATATGCTGCTCAGTAGTTACGGTGATTGCTTTGGTCCTCTGATGATTTCTTTCAGCTCCACCTGATGCTGAAGCTCGTCATCCTCATCTGTGAACAATGTGTCATCCTGGAGCAAGCTGAGGGATAGAGAAATGGCTGGATAATGAATTCCTGGTGGTTGTTGTAATTTGGAAAACATATGGCAGCTGAAATTCTTGCTGTATCTTGACAAAGGACCCTTCCTTTTGTGCTCTGCTAACAGATGCAAATATGCCAAGAACAACTATAAGCTGAAAATGCATTATGCTGACAAGCTCAGTAGAAACTCTTCTGATTCCACTTTAACATCTATGTGAGAATCAGGGAATTTTTGGCCTGTTTTTTTATAAAGAAACACACAAATGGTATGCGAAGAGTGTGGTGTAAGGTCAAAGGTGTATGTGTAAATTAACCTTCCTAGACCTACTTAAGTGTGGCTATGTTGTAGGCACGGACCTTTATCCTGTTGGCCCAGAAAATGAGTCATCTCATGTGTGCAAGATAGAAACTCTGGGTTTTGTCTTTTTGCTCCTTTATCAAAGTTTCCTTGTCACCAAACATTGCCTTTTCTTTGAATTGTTCTTACAGCACTATATACTAAGCAAAATGTGGTGAACATATGTGTGTTTCTTCTAAAATTGCTACAACCTACAGTTAAGTACAGGTGTTGAGAGGAAGCAATGTATTAGAAGGGATTTGTGTCTTGTGCGTGTGTGTGTACACTCCAGATGTCTGAAAAGTTTTCTTGGCTGAATGGAGCAGAAAAATGAGGATAGTAAAAAGGGAGCTTGCTGCCACCTGCTGTGTTTGAGTTGAGTGTTTTGCCATTGTCCTGATGTTTTAGAGGTATAATTGCTTCCCTGTTTTCCTTTTATGCCTGTTGTATGACTAGTAATCCATAGCTTCCAAGAGACCGCACAACGACAAGCAGTCACTGTGCCAGAGAAAGTCCTGTCTGCTGTTACAGGACATGCCATGCATTTGGTGGTGTTCCTGATCATTTCCTATTGGTTGTTTCCATCTTCTCTGCAGTCTTTGTTGTTTGTGACTGAGATGTTTCCGAGCAAGAGGGAAAGCATGATCCATGTTCTTAAGCATGTAAAAGATGCTGTGGGTTTTTTCTTCTGAGCTTTTGCCTCCAGCTGCTGAGTCATTGGTAAAGGAGGGCTTAACTGCAATTCTCCGGGGAGTGACTGAGGTCGAGTCATTTTGGTTGAGCTGCTGTCACTACCAGTAGCGTGAAATGTCAGTGACAACTTTGTAGCTGTGAAAATATAAGAATGCTTTTTTGGCAGTATTATGTGCTCAGTAATGATATTAAATAATCTTCAGTTGTGAACAAAAAGTGGTGAGTTTACAGAAAAGGTATTAGAAAGGGAAGCCAGAGGTAAACTGTTCCACTACCACCTCTCATTGAACTCATTTTCACCTGCAGTCGAGTGTGAGGCATAGCCTTGATGAGAGCACTTAGATCCATGCTGGCTTTGCCTGTGCCACGCTTGTTCCTCAGCAGAAGAATGGTTTCTCACCACGCTCTGGAATTGCTGCACAGTTGTACCTTACGCTCCTGAACTGTGAAACGGTTAGAGATTGCTGTTAAAATCATGTTGATGTTCTCCTCTGTAGGATGAGACTGAAAAGAAGGATGAAAAAGAAAAGAAAAAAGAGCCTGAACCCAACTTCCAGCTTCTGGACAACCCAGCCAGAGTCATGCCTGCTCAGCTCAAAGTTCTTACCATGACAGAGAGCTGCCGGTACCAGCCGTTCAAACCAGTAAGTGTCACCTTCCTAGTCCGTGTGCCTGATGGAGCGTTCCCAGTGCTGGGCTTGCGTGTAAGGACCCAGCACTTCTGTGTGTCCATGAGAATGCCACTCACAGCTGGGGCATCACTGTAACATGTTATAGAGATTTGCAACTTCGCTGTTGTCTCGTTTTCTTTTTAACGACCTCTCTCCAAAGGGTCACGTGCAGTTCTAGTTGGAGGAAAGCCAGAGCTGCTGCAAAACTTTTCACCATGCTAATGCTGCTTTATTTTTCTTTCTACTACATAACATGGAAACTAATCAGACATACTCTGTGTATTAATGACATTGCTGGGGACGTAAAGACTGAGACATGATCTTTAAAACGGGCTGAGAAGTTGTACAGGCTCATTGTCAAAGCAGTGAAATACATTAGGACTTGTGCTGGAGCTTATTTATACCTAAATAGAGGGGGGTTTTCATTAAACAGATTTCCTGTTTGGTTACATCTGACCTTAGAAAAGTGCCTTCCTGTCCTGTTAACACAGAGGAGAGATAGCATGTGATTGTCAGATGGAGAATGAAAAAGATCTTTTAGCATTAAGCCCAAGGGGTAACTAACTTTTCTGTGAGATGCTGAAATATATTGCAAAGCTAATAAGCTTGCTCCTGACCTATAAATCTCCTGAGTCAAATTCTTCTGGCCTTTATTTTTGTTTGAGGAATAACACCCTTAACTTCCCCCTTTTGCAGGATTATGCATGAGAAAATGGTGTTCAGAAATAGTAACATTTTTTCCAGGAAAATAGTCGTGTTTTTAATAAATGGATTTCCTGGAATTCCATCAGCACATTGGAATTCTCTGCATTGTCCCATTTTGAAACATCTCCTTTAGCAAAGCTGTGGAAGGATTTTCTAGTTTCTACCCTTTAAAAAGGAGAGGTGACCCAACTGCTGTTTGGATTGAGAAGGTCTGCTGTGTGGTCCAGTAAGTGTCCACTCATGTAGCTGCAGTGTGGACGTAGGTAGCTGTTTGCTTCAGTTTCAAAAGAAGCTGAGTCCTTGGTGAGGGGAGTGCAGTTTCCTGCCTTAAACCCCCATAAACAGGTTTTGAAGAGAACAGAACGGTACAGGTTTTTGCTGGGATTAGGGTGTGTAACCAAGCAGGCTCTCAAAACAGAGCTGGTTTGGACCTTTGCTCTACTTCAGGGAATGCCAGAGTAAAAGGCCTCTTTGAAATGCTGTTTATGGCCTGGAATCCTGCTGTGGTCAAAGCCCTGATCCCAGCCAGGCATGACACAGCACTGCCTCTTCACACCTTGTGTTTCAGTCCTGGAGATGCACAGACTTGCTTCAGCCTGTCAGGATGTTGGGTTGTGATCTTTGTAATTAATTCCCCTTTGGTTTTACGAGGTTCTGCTAATAGGATTCCTCAGTTGGTAGAAGCTGGTGATCAGATTAGTCTCTGTTTCAGATAGCCTCCTGGGAGGCGGCTACACAGAGAGGCTTCACTAAGCTTTGTTGCCCTGAAAAGATGAGCCTTATAAAGCAATTATGGTTCAATTAGTTTTCATGTGGAAAGCCCCAGACTGGGGTGGAGCTGTGAATCCAGATGCCATTTTCTAACAAACTGAAACTTGAATAGTGGAAACACCAAAGGTAGCCTGGATAGGCTCTGTCTGTTCATTCCCCTTATCAGGCAAGGATCTGGGTGAGTGTCAGACACTTTGCTTTCTCAAACTCATTCCTGCCGAGGTGTCTCATACGGCCTAGGATAAACACCATGGCCACAAACACTCCACCATGAGGCAGAGGCAAGCAGCTGTCATGCTCACTGCACTTGTCTTGCAGCTTTCCATCGGAGGCATCATCATTCTGAAGGACACCAGTGAGGATATGGAGGAGCTGGTTGAACCTGTGGCAGCTCACGGTCCAAAGATCGAGGAAGAGGAGCAGGAACCTGAACCACCAGAGCCCTTTGAGTACATTGATGATTAAGACCTGAGGTACGATGTAGTATGCAGTCACCTTTATTAATCCCAATGAAGGAGAAGCCTCTTTGGATCAACTGAAGCAGTTACCAGCACCCAGCACTCTTGTTTTAGCTCTTTGATGGCTTCATGGTTGAGAACGGGCTCTGTCCCCATTTGAGGAGTTTGGCAGCAATAAAAGAGAAGTCCACTCTTCCGGATCAGGCCTGACCCGGTCGTACTGGGTCTGGTCTCTAATCTCACAGGCTTGGCTGCTCCTGAGTAGAGCCTGGCTGGGCAGAGTTAGAGCAGTGTGTGGGGTCACAGGCAACAGCTGAGCTAGGAATAATCAGCTCATGAAAGATGGTCCCAGAGGGGCAAGTGGTTTATGTAACAAAGCTGTCATCTACTTGACCTCAGTGTGGCAGAATTGGTTGAAAGAGAGCTACTACTCTGCTTTCTGGGGTTGTCTTGTCTTCCCAGCAGTTCTTAGCAGAATTTAAAGACACTCCAGTCACGGGCTCTCTGGTGCTCTCGAGCCTGACGTTAATGATACTTGTAGATCTGTTCCAGGCCACGAGCAGTGCGGTTCTCAGGTTCCTTAGTTAAAGTGCCTGAACTGATGTGCAAGTTTCTCACTGAGAGGCAGAAACCCAGTTGCTTTACTTCCAAATATGGGCTGGCATGTCCCAGTGCTCCCAAGAGCAAGGATTATGCACTTGAATTGGTGGATAGGCAGGAAAACAAGCTCCTTGCTAAAAACTGTAAATGTTGCGTCAGTGGCAGGCTCGGGTGAGTGTGTGGGGCCAACCACAAGAAGTCTTACTTAAATATGTTTGCTTTTCTGATTTCTGTCTTCCCCCTCCTCCAGGATCATGTCCTCTAAAGAAGACACTATGCTTGATATCAGAAAGACAGACATGAAGACCTTCCTATCGAGATGTGCTGTTCAGTGCATGCAGCCCCAATCTGTGCTGAGCTAAAGCTGATAGTCCATGTTTTATGGCTGAAGAACAGATATATGCTATTTAGTGTACTCTTTCACAAAACCTTGTTTTCAAATAAATATATTAAAAATTCTTGACAGAAAACTTGGTGCTTTTAAAAAAAAAAAAACAAACCTAACAACCTTCTTTTCCACTCACCCCAGACGTTACAAACTAGACCCAAGTTGTGCGTCTTCCTCCAGCAAAGCTTGACTGACTCTGCTCCTCTGTAGAGTCGTTGGGATCTGTGCACATCTCTGCTTTCTCTAGCACTCATTTAGGCTGAGCAAAGTCACCAGCTCCAGGGAGGGCAGCTCTCTACTTGCCAGCAGCTGTCCCGACGAGGTCTGCTTCCGAATTACCTCGCTGATGCTGACTTTGCACTGATCTTCCCGCTTGCTCATCCTGGGATTCGTGGGACGATGTGGGGCTACAGAAGGCCTCTGGGTGTTAGTGATGGGGAAATGGGGGCACGTTTCTCTTTATTTCAAAGAATCCCTTTACTTTTTTTTCCTGTGTGCTTTCCCTGCTTTCACGAAATATGAGCATAATAGCTGATCTGAGCCGGCAGCTAGAAATACATTACAGGCCCGGATGGGGTGAATCCAGACGTGCAAGTTGATACACTGTTGTGCATCGTTAGCCAAGGGGGGATTTACAGTCAGGGGTATGGAATGAGCAGCAATCAGAAGGAAGGAATGCTGCTTGACTGTTTGCTGTCCAGCTCGCTCCTCACCTGGGGCGAGCCAGGGACTGCGGCCCTGGTCAGCTGTACCCGAACGCTGGGTGAGGCTCCGCCTTGGGAAACAGCACTCAGATGGAATGAGATTTTTACTCATGTATGTTGGGAATGTTTTGCTCCATGTGAACGTGTCACACGCTCATGTGCATCGATAATAATGGAAGACAAATCTTGCATGTAGTGCCTGGGAGCTTTTCCAGCAGATGGTTTATTTTGGTGAATGTTACTATAGCAATAGAATAGTCTGCCTTTGTTCTCTGCAAAGCTTAAGCAGTACAGAGCAGAGGTGTGGGACTGAAAGCCAATTTTGAGTCCTAGGCTTCGATCAGAAGTCCCTGAAGTTGCAATGCTGTCTCAGTAAGGGCGTCGGTCAGACCTCACAGTTCTCGGCGTGATCCAGATCTGTTCTCCCATGGAGCAGAGCCAAGAATGAACCTGACATAGCTATAGACGTTACTGTCAGTGAAACTGGAAACAGAGGGAATCACTGGTCCGATCCCATGGTCATTCAAAGTGAGACCTGGTATTGTGGTGCAAGAAACAGAAGCTGGACAAATGTACATTCTGTGAGTTTTTCTGGTGCTGTAATCCCTTCCCTTTGAATGGGTACCTGTACCCCTTACTCCTGCACGTTCTGCTGATGCCAGCCACTGTGGTATGTGGTGGTTTTTAGGTAATTTGTTAGTAATGCCTTGTGTTATACTACAAAATACCACTTAGAGGGGAGGACATTGGGAGGAGGAAAAAAAACCCTCATTTTAGGTCATTCAGCAACCTGCCAGGTGGCTGGATATTGCTGCAACATTTCTAGAGTCTGAGTAGAAATGCTGGGAATAGCTGAAGGACCTGAAGTCCTGTACTGGTGCCTTGGCCAAGCTGGGAACAGTCTGCTTCTATTCACAGGATGCTTTGCTGAGCCTTTCATACTATAACAGACACTTCAGGGTAGCCGCTATATTCCTGGGGCTTGCTACAGGTTTGGTTCTCGGTGTGGCTGTGTAAATCTGTATGCACAGAGCAGTTCCCACTGAGCCATGTACTGCCTGGGGCACAAACCAGGAGGCTCAGTTCTTGTGCTAAATGATTTTCTTGTGCCTGCAAGACCACTCCTGCCTCTGGCAGTGATGTTTCCCAGAGCTCCCTTGGCACAAGCAAATGTAAAAACCTCAGATAGCCCCAAACTGATTGCCGAGCTGCTACTCTGGGGCCACGTGGTAAGGTTACACTCGGGCAGTCAGATTTCTAGAGGAGCTTTTGGTGGCTGTGGGAGAGAAAAGCTACGTATGCCAGGCTGGGGACACCAGGAGGGATATCTGGGAATTGGCCTGTCCTCACTTTCCTGGCTCTGACGCTCGCTGTGTTTTTTTCTCCACTGTGTAAACGCACATGGGAACTGTGTGGTTTAGGATTGAGAACACACACAGAAAAGCATCCACTGCCTTGTCTTTCCCCCATGGCTGCTCCATGTTTTCCTGCTTGGGAGAATGTCCTGGACAGGAGTCAAGGGGAGCGTGGAGAGGAGCTGGAGGAGCGTTGACAGAGGTGGCTGCTAGTTAAAGGGTGAAGCAAATGGATTAGCAGTGTGAAGGAGGAGAGGTGACGGCCGCACCGCAAACCTGGGGTGCTGTGAGCTGAGTGGGGAGCAGGAAGGGGCAGCTCGGCGGGGTGGTGCTCGAGGGAAGGCATGCTGCTCCTCCGGGCAGAGCGACCGTGAGGAGTGTTTTCTAGCGAGTGCAAATCAACCTTTCGCCAGAGGGCTGGTGATTGAGAAGTGGCTCCTCTCTGGGCTGGACTATGCATGGTGAGTGACTTCCAAGGGTTTCAGCCTGTTGGCAGCTCTCTGGAGAGAAGGCTGTGCACGCAAGGAACAGCTGCGTTACTTGTGCGTGTGGTATAGGTAGATGGGGTTTCCCTTTGGGGACTTCCCCAGCTGATCTTTGCAATCGGAGCCTGCTCCACTGCAGAGGCCCAAGTCCTTCCCCATCTTCCCACGTGGTGGGCAGCCCCTTGGGTACGTGTGCTCAGGCCCCATAAATCCATAAAGGATAAACGTCTTCCACCCACACCGCAGCTTTGGGGGATGCTGGTCCTGTGCCTCAGTGAGACGTGCATCTAGCTTGGGCTGGTTTTGCTCAGGGGGCACTGCTTAAAACACTCCAGACAGCATGAAGACAAGAGGTCCTCCTGTGGGGCATGTTTGAGAGTTTGTGGTACAAAACGGTGTGTCTTGTCTATAGAATGATCTCATACGTGCAAATTCTTTTTTTCTAGCCTCTACCTGTTTCTTCAGTTTACTAATCAGGCTGCTGAGGACGCTGCTCTGTGACCACCTGAGGTGTTATATGGTGCTTGGATGAGGTGCTGAGCTTTGCTCAACTGCCAAGGTGCCACTTGGGAAATTTGGAAATGGCCAACCTGTGACTTTGTAAAAAAAAGACATGCAAAGAGGCTGTAACAGCCCCAGGAGAGTTCGAGTAAACTTCTAGGAAGAGTCTAGAAATGTTCTGGAGATACAGCAGAAAACCTCTAGAAAGACTAGAAAAACTAAAAGTGAATGGCCAGGAAACCTCCAGAAATCTTCTGGAAAGGTGCTAGAAAACCTCTGGAAAGCCTTCTGGGCTGGATCCTGCCCCCACGCTAAGGTGTCTGACCACTTTTGCTGGGGACAGATGGGGTTGGTAACTGCAGGACCAGCTCAGTGCTGTGCTTGAGGGAGGGAGGCCAAACTGATTACCGTTTGGAGAAGGCATGGTGGGAGCCTGGAAAGCTTCGCTGCTGCTTTAAATAATGTCATTTAGCCATGGTGACTCATTAGCGCTGATTTCTTAGGAAGTGCTGCTCTCCTGGGCCTGTCTGGGGATGCTGTGGAGGGACCCACCCCTGGGGTGTTTGCCAGGGGCTAATTGGACCTAATGCTCCTGGGTTTGCCAGAGGGAGAGGCTGAGGTGACAGGAAGCATGTTCTGTCCCTTGTGACTAATGGGCCTCATCCCCCTTAACCCTGGTGTGAAATAAATCACTTCAAAAGCATGCTGCTCCTGACAGGTCCCAGAGTCCCTCCAGGAGGCCCTGTACATGTCCTCAGCCTCCCCTTTCCACTCCTTAACTCAGGTACAAGCCCCCTGCTTGGCACCATGATGGGGACCAAAACAGGGATGGAGAAGTTGAAGGTAAAGCTCCCAGGGCAAGGAGTCTTTGAGGAGGGAGCCAACAGCCTCTGCCATTGTTCCTCTGCCCTGGCGGGCACTCAGTAGGTCTTGTCCTCCCACTCCTCCCCATCATGGCAATGCTGCCCTCCCTATCTTTCCTCTTCCTTCCAGGGCCTGGTGAAGCTCTTCCTCCTTACCGCTCAACTCAAGGGTTGGGCACTGCTGATAATGATGACAATGTTGGTCATTTATCTCCCTGCATCCTGGAAGCTGGAGCGTCCCCCACCCTCACCCCTGACAGACCTCAGCCTGCCACAGGCTTTCCCACTGCCTGCTGCTTTTGGCATTGGTGGTGGGTCGGGTGTTCAGCCCAGCTCCAGCCCACCTTAACCCTGCAGCAGGGGCAGGATGGGGGAGCATGGGCATCGCAGGACCGTGCAAGGCTTGTTGTATTTGCTTGCAGCCTCTGAGGAGGCTAGTTTGAAGGCCTTCACCCAAGGGTGCTGATCTTTTCTGAGGGTGGCTTCACATGGGAGCAAGGCTCTTTGCTCTCTCAGTGAAGATAACTGGGTTTGGCACACCCAGTTCAATGTGTTTCTCCAGCGCTGGTGGGACTGGACTGGCCCACACTCTGCCTTGTGAGGAGAAGCTGCTCCAGCCCCTGCTGCTGGGCTCCAGCTCAGGACTGGCTTGACTTGGCCTCTGAAATTCTGCTCTCTGTGGGCAAATGGTCCAGCTGGCAGCAGCCCAGGTCTGGAGTTTTGTTTTGACGTCTGTACTCCAGTTCCTGGCATTGGCTGTACAACTAAAGCTCTGGTTTTTCCTCAGAAGAAATCCCATGCAGGTACTCAGGTGAGCCATCGGTGTCTCTTCCAGCACATGTGAGAATCAGCGTTACCCACACGTATTGCAGAGAGGTGACTCGAGGCAAATTCTGTTTGGAGATCAGCTAATTGGAGGTCCTGGAGACCTTAACGCCAGATGACTTGACCCTGCTGCATGTATGTGTTTAAGCAACACGTATGTCTGGGTTTTTTCTTTATGTCCACAAAGCATGTGCGGAAAATGGATGGCAGAGGGTCTGTACCGTGAGGGTCCAGGTGAAGTGGGTCTTGGCGAGCAGGACAGGGTGCAGGGGGGGGACACCCTGGGGCTCGCTGCCCGCCACTTTGGTGCAGGGCTGGCTGAGGGGAAGGGCAGTCATTTGG